CCTGAAAACCGCTTTAGTTAAATTAGTTCAATTGCTCAACATGAAAAATGAATGAGGTTCATATAGAATGTCCTTTAAAACAATAAAAAAAGTTTGCTCTAATGCACCCGAGCTAAATGGGTTTAAGTTAATAAAACTGAGTCAAATGAATTTAAAAATGAATTGTGTATTTCTACTATTGTCGGTGAACTTTTATTAGAAATATAAAAAAAAGGTTATTATGCTGTATATACCTTTCCCCTATTCCTGTCAAGTGTATAGGGCCAGGAGTTCTGATTAATAGAATTAATTTACAAATAGAATGAGAAGCCCTCTAAACCTGAATGTGTTTTTGAAAATCGCTATGTGTACAGTAACTTAATAAACAATGTTCCATATATAATTTTCAATAAGCTCTTTTAGCTCCCTGTCTTACTTACGGTCATTTCTGGGGCTGGAAAGACCTTGTCTGGTGATACTCCTTTCTTATCCTGGGCAGCTACAAAAAGTTTTATTTTCATTCCACCTGACTCCTTAATGACTTTATTGAATCATTTGTTGACTTCATTCGTACAAATTTCCACTGATGACAAGTCTTTAGCTAATGAGAATGTCTGGCCCACTACAAAGTTTGCCAGGCTGTGGCTCCAGGATCAAGAGTGAGTATCGATGATATAAGATTTTATTGCTGGATATTGCACATGTCATAGCTACTATATCCATCTAATCTGCAGTGAATTGTATTCTCTCTAAATCTCAAAACTACCTATTGCATTTTCAAGCAGCTTATCACAGAAGGTATTTGTGAAGGAAAGGGAGATCTGGTATAAATCATAGGATCTCTCTACCAGTCTTAAATGTCTTAAACAAAAGGAGATATTTATGAAATTGCTTGTACTACTGGTGGCAAAGCAGAGAAAATCTACCCAAGGATACACCATAAGTCATAAACTGAATAAATAAACTTGAAACAACAAAAATGAATCATGTAGAATCACAGGGGATTGTCAAAAAGTAATTCTACTACAGCACAGAGCAGTCTCACAGCACGCACGATGCATCTGCACTGCCTAGACAGTGCAAACTCTGATATGCCAAAAGACTGGTTCACCTGCAATGGAGAATGCATTCATATACAGTAGGTGATGTCACCTTCAGTGGAAATCTCTAACACACTCTAGCCCTGCAGTGAATATTCCAGACATATTATTTTCTAAATTTTGTTCTAGTTAAGCACACAATGAGCATAGATTTCAATTTTTTTAAATCTGTAACATTATAGGTGCAGAAAATTATTTTGTAAAGAATATGCCTTAGATTAAGGTTAAAACATAGTGGCACATCTATCAAACTTTTGTAAGAGAGGAACAAAATACACTTTTTTTTAAATTATTTTTACATTCAGATGCAATTCAGGATACTCAAATGCACAGAAGAATGACCACAGAACATTGAGCCAATTACAGAAACCTGAGATGTATTTATACTGTAGAAGAATACAGCACCTTAACATTTTTCAAGAATTCTTCTCTGCATAGATACGTTTGTACTAGAGAGGTTGTGAAATAAGTGAAATTTTAATAATAAAATATATTGAACTGCAGTGACATCACAGAAGTCATTCAATTGCAGTGACATCAGAAACTTTTTTAACTGGGTCAGACAAATTACACCTTTGTAATACCCAGAATACTTTGTGATATCCAGTAGATGAGGATCATGTAATTCAGGTGGGAAGCTGCGTCAGCATGCGTAGGCTGCGAAGGAACAAGTAATAGGTTTATTCCATGCTGAAAAGAGAATAAAGAAAACACAACGTTTCGGCCATGGAATAAAGATTTGGTTTCTGTTTTCATTGTATTATGAAATTAGAAATGGGTAAAGCAGAGGTTAGGACCAGGGAGTTTTGTCAGCTGTCACTGAACACTTCAAAAACATTTGGTAGGGAATAACTATCTACATCTGATAGCTGCTCACTAGAAAAGAAAATCCTATAGTTAACCTGCTGGAAATCCAATAAAGTTAATGTAAAATGCTTTATGCATTAGATCAGATTACAAATTGAGCTTCAACTGGTGCCACTTGATACTCATCAGCCTGGGTTCATCCACTAAAAGGGCACTCAGGAACTCAGGAGGCTTATTTTGGATCTTATCAGCTTGATAGTTTGTGTCTGAAAAAGGCTTAATGCTTGCTATATTGCCTTTAAGAGCTACTAGAAGAGAGGATGTAACAGCCTATGAATAGTAATAACAATGAGACATTGGAAATTCAGTTGTATATTTTCTAATGCATTTAACTCTTTAACAAAGAGTTTTACCATCATTAAAATGAACATTGAACAAGTACAGTATGTATCCATTTTCACCATTGCTGACTGAAAAACACAGAACAGGTGCCTGTTTCAAACTCACAATATGATGTTTTGCAATTTTGGAAAAGAAAACTTAGGAGGTAGATTATTGAATTATATTTTTAACAATTTTCCAAATCATTGCAACAATTGCATCAAGAATGTTATAGGATTTGAACCACATAACTGCAAGTACAATCATGTATTGGGCATAGTTAAACTCCAATGAAAGCTAAGTTCTCAATGTAGTATCCATCAGTTTATTGATTATGATATTCTTATTACGATAACCCCATATTGTATGGCTCAAGTATTTCTTACACAGTGCACATAAAGGCTGTTGTCTGGTACAGCAAATTTGATTTGACCAGCTGTCTTCAGTGTTCAACCAAAAAGCAAAATGCATAAGAAATCATAACAGAAATACCGGACATACAAACAGTCAAAAAACAGGTACAGTCCACATCACAATCACTGATGTTCCTGCTGGTTTCTATATTGTTTACAGAACTAGAGATCATCTGACTCCCTCCACACCAGGATGGAATGCACGTTAATCACAGGGATCACCCACCAGCAATGTCCCCAGTTATAAAGCTGAGTGGACTGGAACAACTGCGGTAAAGCACCTCACTCAGGGGTGCAACAGCAGTGGCTGTGATAGGGACTCGAACCTGTGTCCTGCCAGTTACCAAAAGGTTTAACAACTATCCTACACTGTGCCCTTTAACAACAGTAAGTTTTAAGACAACAGGCCTTTCTGCTCATGCAGTCTAATGTACCAATCCTATAGAGACCCTCAATTGCCCAAACAATATTCTGTTCTATAATTGATCTATTTATTACTTAGTATAAATTAATTTATACAAACTGTATCAAGACTCACCTACTAAGTCTGCAGACACAGGTTTCTGCTTTTCTGATCTATTCAATGAGTTTGCCCTCTGGTGTTAAAGACAGTGTATGACGAGCACAGGCAGAAAATAATCTGCTCAGGTACCTTCATTTCATTTTTGGAGTACAAAAATCTTTTCTTTTTTAGTTTACATCAGTAACTAAGCTGAAAATCTGTTTAGGAACATTACGTGTAACATTTTGCAATTTGACCAGTATGAAGCTGAATTTCTATGTCGATCACTCTGCAGTCACCCATCTGATGTGGCACTGACATTCACTCCAGCTTTTATAATGTCACTAAGAAAAATGCATGCTGCTACATGTTTCTATTTTCTGTGTTTGATGTCCCTAAGTTCTCTCACTCTCCCTACCTCCCTTCTGCTTTGTTAAACCTATTGCCACTAATTATCAAAGAAACTTGAAGAGAACTCACTTTGGCAGCATTTTCCTAATTCCTCCTTAGGCCAAGCAAAATAAATGTGCTTGGTTTGGCTTTTAAGCAGAGCTGTTTGCTGCAGTCCCTAGTTTAATGAGAGGTATGTGTATGCAAACAAGCAGATTTACGCTGGAGGCTTCATTAGCAGAAATGTTTGTTCTTCATCTTAAACAGTGACAAAAACATTTTTGAGTGTTTACAGTTTTGCTTGAGGACATCTACAAGTCAGTAAACCAGGTATGATGCATTCTGGTCAAATAACAATCATGTGAAATTCAATGGTGCTGTATATATTGATTACCTCTTTCCTCTGCTGCTATATTGGGAATCCCAGAGGAGAATATAATATAGTGCATTTAAGGGAAGATCAACACGATCAGTAATAATAGAGTATTATGCATATATATTTAAAGAAAACCATCCAGGTACCTGTTTAAGCATACAGTATGTGTATATTTGAGGACTCTCCCTAACATTCGACCTGGCAGGCAGACTCCCATACCTAACCCCTAATCCGACTGCTGCCAGATTTTGGCTCCTAGTTCTTTTTAAATTTGTGTAATGATCCTAAAGAATGTCTTCCCACAAGTCACCTGGAAGATTATATTGGATTCGTTCCACAGGAGAAAAAAAAAATTATTGTGGAAAGGATATTTTGGAAAACGTACAAAGGGTGTAAATACTCTAGCAATGTGTCTTGCCTAAAGGAAGACGGGTTAGATTCTTGAACATCGCTTTATTAATAAGTGGAGGTATGAAGAAAAAGGTGATTAAAAACTAATTTTAAAGTGTTTCCGTTTTGAAAGACAACAATTTCTTAATATTTGAAGCTGTGATTCTAATATGTAATTATGAGGTTTATATTATGAAAGTAACACATGTTGTGGGCATTTATCTCGATGTTCTGAAGAGTCTTTGCATGCGAGTTCATAAATGTTTGCAATGTCATTGTTTGCTACCAGAATTTTTACCAAAACATTTTATATATACTAAGAGCTCCTTGTGTTGTTCTTTTTCCCTTTACGTGCTTCGAATTTCAAAGCATGAAAGGGTACTTCTGTACAGCCAAGTCGCATTCAATACTTCTGAGAATTTAAAAAGTCAAGATCTCTCGAGAATTCAGAATTAAACACTAAACAACTGTCCAAAGGCAAAGGCAAACATGCAAAGGCAAACTTGACTGAATGTATCTGTGACAGGAATGTCGAATTCTAAAAAAATCCCAAAGTTCTGTGTTTACTATGTATATTCCTGTTGCTTTTTCCCTTCTAAACGAAAGTGCTTATAAGGCTTAGTAAGGTTAGTGTTGTGCGCGCAGGCGCAATAGCTTGGGAGTTCCAGGACCTTGGACAGAGCAAGAGAGGCTTCAGGATACGACAACGGCGATTTTATCGACCTTTTAATAAATCTTAGTAATCTCAATTATCACAATTTGGGGTTTTTGTTGGTCATGGTTAAAACCAACAGTATTTCCGCTCGGTAGGCCACAGGCAACTACATACGATACGATGCTTTAAAACAAAAGCAGCAGAAGCACATGATGTCCAAATAAGTAGTGCACTGCCTCGAATTCAGATGGCCTCTGTTTCTTTAATTTGTTAATACTTCGTAATACGGTTGCCAAAAAAAAGGAGTCTTGACAGAAAACGTAACTGCAACCCGTTTTCAGAACCAAATGGTTATATTATAAATCAAAATAAGTGAATTTTGGAGGTGGAAGGAGAACAGTATGTTGTTTTTGACACTGCTGACTAGCTGTTAAAATATTACATAATTTAGGTATCAATCGACACGTACTAATGGAAATATATGACAAACAGGTGAGTAATGTTTGTTGCATTCTATTTAATATGGTTCAGCAAATATGTTCATTGCGTTACAGTAATAAAAATGTATGGAGAAGATCATGGGTATTCAATGATGTTTCTTTAATTTTTTTATGAACTCGATATCATGGTGTATTTTTTATTTTTTTGTGTGTGTGTTACTGGAGAAAGCATTTTGATTTTCGGATTTTAACCTAATATTGCATTGTTAGGTTATACGGAACGTGAATGCTCTTTTTTGAAAAAATGGATTCAGCACAATAATAAATTAATGCTTTGCTAGGCAAAGCAAATATGTATCGATAACATTGCTTAAGAAGGGATTAAAGTTCAAATTACGGAATACATCAAAATGCAGCGATTAAAATGAGAACAGAAGTAGTAGGCAACAGAAGTGCATTTAACTATTCATGTAATAAATTTCGTGTTCTTTAGAAACAACACAGAAGGCCAGTTCAGTTGATTGTTGCTGTCCGCTGATGACTTCGATGTTATACCGTTCTCGAAATAAAATGTCGAATGTCATTTTATTTTAAAATGCATGAATACAAATTGTAAATGTTGATCTTATTCGTCGCTTAATCTTCTTTATGAATTAACGACAGAGTTAACAGTTCACTTTTGCGAAGCTCTTGGAAATAATACATCAAGAGGGAGTATTTCTGGGGGAAACAGTTGCAGAGTTATCAAATGCTGGCAATATTGTACAGCACACATGGACCAGCGTCAGGAGTAAAAACCACTCCTTACACAGTTTGCTCTTGCAGGTAGATGATACTGAAGTGCAAGTTCCGTGCTAGGCGAACGCAATGGGTTTCTACATCAGTTCCTTATCAAGAACGGACATCCGGTGTGTAAAACCGCCGTCCACCACGCAGCAGGCCCGCCGCTACCAGACTGCGCCCAACTACAATTACAAGTGGACAGACGTCCACTATGAGGCCAGCCGTGGAAATGTGGAAAAACTGCGTACTCTTCTTCTCACATCAGGTACAGTAAGTCCCTTAAAGGATATCTCCACAATTACTGCTGTAATTCAGGTGTATTTTACAATCCGAAGAGTACAGCATTATACAACATTACAGGTTCCTATCTTTTAATTACTATGCTTGTTATCTTTCTTTACGTTTTTTCACAGACGTACAAGTTAACAAATTCATGTCTCTTTTTCAAGATAATAGCTTGCATTCAGCGTGTTATGGCTGTCCTGGCTTAACATCTCACTCAACTGGTCAGTCAGATCCAGCTTTGGAGTGTCTCTGCAGGCTGCAAGCAAGATCAGGGGGACAGCTGGTCAGCTCATGGGGACACCTGTCTGAAACAGAGATTGCTTTCTGATATCCTAACAGTGAGACCAGTGGACCCAAAACATATTTTCTAAGTTGCTCAGCTGGATGTGAACTAGAGGCAGGTCTCTTATAAAGTTGGACTAGTATATGGGAGTCCCTAACAGTACATTTTGCAAAACTCCCATATTTGCCGTATAAGAAGAGGTAGATTGACAAGAACTTAATTCTTAAAATGAAGAGCCCTAGAATAGGCTCTATTGTGGTCTTCTCTGACTGTGGTTTGTGTTCCTTCAGGAAAAGAGCAGGTGGACCAGAAGGATTACTATGGGAAGACACCTCTGTATTGGGCTGCATACAAAGGGCAGAAGTCTTCCTTGATGCTTCTGCTAAAACATGGGGCGAACGTGAACAGTCAGTGCAAGCATGGTAGTACCCCACTTCACGCTGCTGTAGGGTTGTTCCCAGAGTGTGCCCTGGTGCTGATACAGGTGGGTGAACCTGGTATAAGGTAGATCCATTTCCTGGATCAATCTAGATCTGCCAGATGGATACATTTTTTGATCCGTTTGGCAGGTTAGAAACAAGATGTTTTTCTTTCTTTTCACTCATCTTTTTTCCCCAGACTAGGGGTTTCTCACCTTATTCCTCTTGAACTTTTTATGTATATGTAGAGATAACGCACTGCTGCCCTTACAATCAGTAAAAGGCTAACAATCTAAAACATCGTGTTTCTATTGCTTTGTTTTACAAAGATCACTCGTTAAAATATGCTTTGTGCTTAGAATAAGCACCGCAGAAGAGACAAAGCAAAAGCATCAAAGGAAACTAAATTACAAACATTCACACCACAGCTGTTTTTGTACAGCCAAAGCACTCTCACAAAGAAAAGAACTTCAGATGTTTGACCTGAAATTTGAACATTGATGTAGTATTACGTAGGTTTGTTGATCCTCGTTCATGATGAATTGAAACTTGTCATCTGGGAGGATTTCAAGGTTGTGTTATAAGGTGGTGCCACTAGACTTAGGAACAGCTTCAAAAATATGGCATTGTGTGTCATAAACAGCTAACTGCGCAATGCCTCAGAACTCAATGCACCTCTGCACTCTGCACTTCTGACTTCCAGTGTATATGAATTTGAATTCCAATGTGCATGTACATATGGTAATAAACTCCTCTACTCTAAAGGTATTCAGTAACAAATATAAGCCACAAATTATCTTCCACTGTAGCTGTGTCTATTGCAGTGACTGGGCCTGAGATTAGTATTTGAAGAGGTAATAAATGTTTATGGAAACAATTTGAGATGAGTATATCAACTTGAGACTGTATATCAGCTGTTCCTGTGTTCTCTTCAGCATGGTGCAGACGTCGATCTTCCAGATATCTGGGGCGTGACTCCTATGTACCTGGCTGCCTGCAGCGGGCAGATTGAATGCATCCAGCTACTCGTAAAAGCAGGGGCTAAAATCACCTACAAGAACAAGGTAGGGAAAAATCATTGTGTTCTTCTTAATGAATTCCAAGAGTTGTGCTTTTAATAAAAAACATGGAACCGATATTTAAAATATTAGGAGGCCATCGAGAAGGTATGGGTTTAATCTAGCGATTTCTGATTTTGGCACATGGTCTAACTGAAATTACAGACGTCCTGCTAAATGCATGTTCTAGCCTGTACCATGAAGGCTGCATTTTGCTTACAAGAGTTTTTTTGCACCCATACAGAGGAAAACCTCAATCAGGCATCAGTTTACATTTGGGTTTGGGTCAGTTTTATGTGGGCCCACAGTGGGATCCTCTATATGTTGGTTGTTTTAAAACGTTTTTCAGTATGAAATCTCATAATCTCCACAAAAACGTGTTTTTTTAATACTGTTGTTATTGTAGTAGTATTGTAGGCCTTGGGTCAGTTTATTGATTTCATAGATTGTTGCACAATGTCATTATTGCACAATTTAAACTAGTCTTATTGTGTACTGTACATTTCTAACATTCTCATATATCATTCAGCTGGAAACCTTTTGTCACCTTGACTAAAGACAAACAAATATATAATAATAATTGTATTATTACATAATGGCTATTTGAGAGCGGTAGGCAAATCAAGTATGATATCTGTTCACATATTTCCAATTGTTTATCAGTTCAGTTGCTACAGCTTTTATGCAGATTGAAACATCTTCAAGGTGTTTTCCTACTTGATTAAGAGATGTAGCCCACTGTCTAACCAGAATTGGAATATATTATGGACCACATTTACTCCACATTATAGAAGATTGCTGCTGCAGTTAGATCTTTAACGTTTCTAAAAAACATATAATTTGATCAGAATTAAAACAATTGGAGTTGCTCAGACTTTGAAAACCCCTGGCCGTTGATTTGTTCTGTGTGCACAAAGGGCAAGCAATAAGGTAAGCAGCCTATTTGTTCTTGGTAGCGTTGAGCCAAGAGAATTCACTGAACTGTGTGTGACTCCTTCTCCTTGTGCAGAAAACAGGGGAGGCTCCTAAACAGCTGGCCTCCAAGATGGCCCTGATTTCCTGGATCGAGAGCTTCCAGAAGGAGCCCCGCTCCCTGAAGCACATTTGTCGCAAGGGGATCCGAGATGCTCTGGGCCCCAGCAGGATCACAGCCCTCCACACCTTCGACATCCCCTTATGTCTCAAGGAGTACTTGATGTTCAAGGATCTGCAGCTTCAGGACTCCCCTCAAGCAGGGATACCTAGAACACCAAATGAAGGGTGTTAATTGGAGAAGGGATTCTTAGCGGACTGAACCTTTGATAAAGACAGCATCCACTCCTGCTGGAAATATGACCAGGAAACAAAACACAAGAGAGTGGCAGGTGTCTGTCATGGAAGGAACACCATATTGAAAATGCCTCACTTGTGGTCTTTTCATTGCTAAGCTATCCCCATTTCCCAATAATGTTGATCATTTTTTACTCTGATAGTGTCTCTGATTTATATCAAGGTTTTCACTACGAAGTTTGCTTCGTCCACCACTGAACTGCAGTGCCATGTGAGCACAACAACAGCATTTTTACACCTAATCCTTTTTACAGCTAATCCAACAGGGGCCAACAAGAATGTTAAGGTTAAGCTTAGCCAGTTAAATTAGATGGGTTAATTCAGATAGTATAAATGAAGAAATTATGAGTGTGTATTTTAGCTTTGACCTTAGCATTAGTGTTGTGTTCAAATTTCTCTTCCAAAAAGCTAAATGTTTACCTGATTTTCCATAGATTCTTCCTGCCAACCAGGCACCGCCTGGATTAAATTCAGAGATGCAACAAAATCAGGCTTTAATAAAGGAGCTATAAATGTGAAGAGACATATACTGTATACGAGTAGTGCTGATTTGAGCTAAACTGTGGCACCGAGTTCTCCGCCCTGTTTATCATGTGGTGTCAGTTAGATGCTCGACAGACTGTTTACAAAACGAATCAAACCAGCTCATCGACCTGACTCTGATGTGTAGTTGGTTTTCTCAGTAAGCTAGGATAAAGTGTATGTTGTAAGCAAACCTATTGACAATGTTATGGATGGGGAAAGTCTCAGTTATCATCATCCATCTATACCAAACTATTTGAGTAATTAGATGCTAAATATTTTTTGCTTGTTGTTTTCTTTTTAATAAACAGCCATTAACCCAAAGTAAATGGTAGTCTTCATCATCTGTGGTTTAAAGATGTATGGTGTGTGGTATGAGACTGAAAGTTAGATAGACTTTTTAATCTTCTCAAGTCCTGTGTGAACGTTATCGAGTTAAGCAGAGTACTACCTTGCACTACTGTATGTAACATTTTGTATTGAAGACCCAGTTACCATATTAAGTCACAGGAGCAGTCTTGCTGACCATCTGAGGGAAGTTTCCAAAACATTACAAAATATATATATCATTCATTATGTCTGAATGATATATTTATTGTCTTCTTAATTGTCCGATAATCTCATTTATCATGGACTAATTTATCTTGTCCATATACATATTTTAAATGATTAAATGCTGCTATGTAATCATCATACATACATCATGCTTTTTATACAGGCCTATATAAAACATTGCTCTCTGCCCTATCATTCAATAAGAGCCTACCATCATGTCATCATGCTTAATGGACACCCCCCCAGCTGGACACACCCCCAGCTAGTGTTTTCAATGATATTCACTTCAAAAATTGTTTTGAAACATAAAAAGATAGACATTTAATGTCCTGTTGTCTTCAGGATTGTACCTTATTATTTAAGTATAATTTATTTGCTCAAATTAAAGTCTTACCATAAACTGTTTTTTTATATAAACGTCTCATCATTTCCGAGGTGTTAATGTTTTGTTTGTCTGAGATGACAAAGATGTTCTGTGTACTTTGAGCAGCAGAAGATAAATCTATGTGGTTTGCATATATTTTTCTTCCCAGATCTAAAGCATGTTTGCTGTTCTATCCCTTATCAATTTGATTCTGCTTTTAGAACACATTAGTGGTGCAGCTCCAGAGGAAACAGCATTTTAGCTTAAGGTTTTGATATTGTCAGCTGAGAAATTCATTTATGCTTATTGCCATCCAAACATTTATACTGATTCCTTGATTGTTTGTTTTTGAAAATTGAGTACAGCGTCATATTAAAGCTGAAAGCAGGTGTGAGTTCCTACATTTAATTAAATCCCAAAGGAGCTACAGTATTTCATCTGTTCTCCTTCTTCAGTGACTTACTGGTGCCATTCCAAGTTCTAATTTTATTTTGTATTTTACATATATTACCAATTTTTGAAAATGGCTCATTCTGACAGGGGACAAACCCACATACAAAACACTCCTCATAAGTACCACTGAAAGTCTAAGGTTAAGAAATTGCTTTTAAATGTAGGGGAAAAAAGGATTTCTTCTGTAGTGGCACACCTTTTCCAGCCGGTAAAAATGGGGGACAATTTAAAAAAAATCCTGGAACATTCAGCAGGTTAATAGCTTGTAGAGATATCTGAGCTGGCTCTTTTTTGCATTTTTCAAAAAGTAAAATTGCAGTGACATGTTGGCTCATTGCTGTCTTGCAGCGCTGGATCACTAAGTTCAATTTTTGACCTGGAGTGCTACCGTTTCGGGGAATGTATCTTTTCTCCAAGTTTACATGTGCTTCTGCCATGTGCTCTAGATTCCTCACACAGTCCAAAGACATAGTATTAAGTTAGTTGGGTTCTGGGACAATTGACACTGGTGTGAGCTTGTGGGTGTTATGTCTGTGTGTGCCCTACAATGGACAGGTATCTGTCCAGGGTGCCCAATGCTTGCTGTTATAGGCTCCAGCTCTCCTGTGACCCTGTGTTGGACATAGCAGTTAGATAATGGATAGATTCATTTTTACTTTTTTTCTGGAAATCAAATACTTAAATGGCAGTTTTTGTCTAGAATTGTTAAACTGGGTTTACCTGACTATCACATGAAAGTATTTATGAATCTGGACTGTTGAAAGCTCATTGTTGGTTTGGTATTAAAAGGCACAACACACTAATAAAGAGTCACTTAGGAACAGTGGTCTTACTAAATACCCTGAAATCTTAAATGCAAGAATAGTCTCAGAAGCTGTTACCTTTCTATCACTTTCTCAGATGGGTCAGTAGAAAATGTAAATCCCAGAACACTGGATCCATTGATTAAATGTTTTTTGTCTTACAATATTTGATTTTTTAATTGTTGATATTAAATTAAAATATATCAATGTTGATATATCAATGTGGGTTCACCCCACGACTAGAGTGACAGGCTGGGAAAGAAATTGCAGCATGTTATATGACAGAGAGTCACATTGGGACTGTTCACATGATTGAAAAAGCAAAAAAAAAAACTTGGGTGAGGAGTCAGGAGACATGGTTTTGCTCAATAACAGCTGATGCAAGTGCTAGGAGGAGCCTCTCTCTTGAGACCAAACAAAATACAAATGACGTCAGAGCCAAAAATAAGATGCACAGCATCCAAGATATATTTGTCCTTCATGTTACCAGGACGAGCAAATAGGGGACAATTTCTCTTCTGTAGTATTCGCCAGGAAATATTCCAAAAGTGACAAGGTACTGATGTTTCTGGCTTGTGTGTGAATTCATCAGCAAATTCTAGATCAGCCTGAGTTTTATTATTTTCCTTAAGCTTTTTTGCCTGCTCTCTGTAAAGAGCCAGGCACTTTACTTTGCTTTTTGATTGGGTACATTTGTTTTTTTTTCTTGCCTTTTTTGTTCTTTTTTAAAGCACAGTCTTGCTTTGCATTCTGTCCTTCAGTTTACTTTCTTTTTTTCACGAGTTCCCATTTCCTCATGAATTTGCACATAATCTTGCATTTGCAGTAAACAACGAGAAAGGATTCTCAAATTACTGACAATGGAACTGTGACCAGGTTAATAAAAGGACATCAAGTCCAACTTGCGTTTTCAGCCTTGCAAGACATCAAAAGCCTCCACTTTTTCCTTTTTAAGGAAAAAAAAAGGGTAAAATTATAGTTAATGCTGGAAGCCATTGTTTTGGTTGATTACTTCAGTGCTTTTAGTTCTGTTTGAGTGACATGTCATACATTTCAGGCTAATTTCATCTGATAAAGAATTTTTGGTTCAGCTAAATTTGGTCGTGTGTATCTTTTTTTAGCATAACGTACCACCATCTCCCATGTCTCACAGTGAAAACTTATGTTATCTAAGTAACTTTGATATTATATATCATGCAAGTAAAAAAAAAAACAGGCCTTTTGTTTTATTTCTAAAACGTCAGACTTTCCATATTTATTAGCCTTTTTTTGTGCGAATGATTTTTTTGACTGGTCATCCTACTTGTTTTCCTCCTCCAAAGGTGAATTTTACAAGTTGGGAATACCATACCTGTCAACTTCAGACACACTCACGGAGTTGCAGTTTTATAACATCTGACAGGCTGCTTTTATGCCATTTTATGCCATAGTCTATGCTGTGCCACAAATCCCCAAAGGATTACTTCACTCAAAACAAGAGGTTCATCTGATCTCTCCAGCTTTTAAAGGTGTAAACGTTTTATACTGTACAGTATAAATGAGCTGAAAAATCATATTAAAATATAACTATGACTAAGAAATTTACAACTTTTCAATAAAATGCTGGCAACCTCTCTACTTAATTGTGATTTAATTTCCAAAGCTGAACATAATGACTAAAAGTTGTTATTTATTCTAAACAGTGTTTTGTAAGATCTCCCTTAAAATTAATTCCCTTGTTGCTTATATTTGTCAAATGTATTTTCATTGCAGTTTCAAACTGTTTTCTTCTTGTTCTTTATGACAATCGGCTTCAAAAATTAAGTTTTGGAAACATTCAAGCATGTTTTTTTCCCATTAAGTATTTGTCTGTCTAATGAACAAAAGACTGTTATATGAAATTATATTGCTTTAGTTCTTTATCTTGACATAAGAGCATCTATAGGTCGATCAGAGAGCACATTTTTGTGATTTATATTAATGATTTTTATTAAGCCAGTTCTCAAATAAGTCTAGTTGGTCAGGGATAACTTCCAGTTAAAGCTAAACTAGAAATAATACTAAAAAACATAGAAGTGCCTCACCATGATAAAAGAAAAGCCAAGTAAAGTTTTCATGATGAAGCATACGGAATTATGCAAAGGACAATTTAAACTCTAAGAAACCAATGCAAAGTAAATACTTAGAATAAGAACTTAAAAACAGTGAAAGACTATTTTTTTAGGTAAAGGACAGGGTAACAGTGGTAAACCTTCATTAGGGTTACCCAGTGAAACAGCAGTTTTTAATTGCATTGTTTTACTGCTTATCCTCTGTAAGATAATTTGGATGAAGGCATCTTATAAATGATTAATTATTTTCGTATTCATAGGCAGGTTTCCATTTACCTGGTGCACTCACATAGCTGTGGAAATGTTATTTTGCTAATAGAGAAGCGATCCTACACTTATGGTTGCATAGTCCCTCTCAGAGCCAAATACTGGCCATCTGCTGCTGGAACCTACCTGCACAGCCTTCCCCTATGAATAGAGCCAGTGCCTTTAGAATCGTTTCCATTCCCCGAACCTCAGCTTGGCTGGCCACAGACTCAGGAGCTACACATTTCTGAGAATGGCCTGCCTTTATTAGAAAGGCTTTTTTCAATGTCTATGTGTCAAAGTACACCATCAAGGCATTTTTTTAAAAAATGAGCTGTCATTTCCTCCTAGTGTGATCTTGGTTATGTTGAAGTAAGCGCATTGGTATCCAATGATATCCAGGAATTTTGTCGTGGTTCAAGTGTTAGGTATTGCATCCTATCCTCAGCCTCATCAAGGGGTCGATGAGGACATTTGCTTTTTCTTCGATATGTGTCTACTGAACACTGTGCCAGCAGAGTGTTGACAAGAGCGAATTATAACAATCGAGGATGAGGGCAGCCTTAACAGATCGGGTGGCGATATTTTTAACAGGCTGCATTCTTGGGCTGCTGTGAAGTGTGATGCCTGGCCTTGATTCATTCCTTCCAAGCAGGTTTACATTCCTGATAGAGGGCATGGAAATTTAATGGCACCCTTGCTGCCTTGTTCTCATGTACAAAATGACATTAAGCTCACCACTTGCTGTTAACCAGAAACTTTGATTTGTCTTATTTCTGGCAATGATTATCTCTTGTGCCTCTAAATTACATAGATTGTAAAGCTATCTAAAATGTACAGTATTATTTAATGTGTGTTCTGGTCTCTAAAACACTAGTCATGGTTAGTATAGATAATTTGAGAAGCAACCTTTGAAAAATATTTAGATATCTTTATTGATGGCTTGTTGTCTCTACTGGAAAATTATTAAAAAAAGGCCAACAGATAAGTTTCATGCAAAGTACCAAATGCTGAATTTAAATCAAGGGAATCAAGATTAAAAATGTAATAAAATAGTAGGTTCTTGTTTAAAATATTGTGTTTAGCATTGGTTACCTTTTTCAAGTCTGTATTACAATTTTTTCTCATTAAACTCTCTACTTTATTACAACTCATTACATTACATCATTAAGTTTGATTTCCATTACACAGACTTGTCTCACTGTTGACTCCAAAGGTTCAAGCCAGAAATCCTATCCCGTCTCAGAAATAGGGATATTTAGATACAGGTTTATGTGTATGCAGCAAAACTGTTTTGACACTGGACTTCATAGCTTTACATACTTAGAGTTTGAAATGAATCCATGCCATTAGGCAGAAAGGGTTAATGCTCTCTAAATCCCCAACACCATGAGTAAACCAATCCAGATCAGCTGTCCTTCCTCTCTCAAATATCCTCTCATTATTTAGGACAGAGTCAAAGTGGAGGATATCCCAGTCTGGTCCTGCCCCCTTTGCTTTCCCTGACAGCACCCACGAGGCTGACTAGCTGAAGACAGTGTGGTGAATACTTCCAGAAGCAGAAAGAGAAAACTAGTAGACATGCAATGCTTTCAGCCTCAGGCTTCAACACAACTGCAAGTGTCTCTGAACCCGTGAGTATGTCTGAGAACACGGACTTAATGAGCTTGCAATCCCTTTCGTAAAGTCTTTAGGTGCAGTGCTTCTGCAGCGCTAGAGTGGTATGTGACTGCGAAGCTGAGACCAATGATTTAGGGCTTTTAGTTTTTGTACAGCTTCCAAAAAGCTCAGGAATGCAGCTTTGGGTGTCTTGTTTAAATCTTTCAAGCATTGCAGTCTGAAAAAAAATACCAAGTTGGGTCATTAGGTGAGGATAACCCATGCTTGAAATGGGTAAAAAAATCACGCAACAAAAATTGTTGTAAAACTGATCATGCCATACTTTTCAACTCCTTATGGTTCAGAATTTTATTTTTAAAGGATTGCTTCTGTTTCAGATCATCTTGCTCCTGTCGCCAAGCAACCAGACACACAGTGTGTTTCTAACTAGTTCCTATGAGAAGTGATTTAACTGCACCTTCTGATATTTGTCTCTTCAATTCTTTGGGATTGTTTTTAGCAAGTTATGTTTTTACTTAAAAATCTTAACTGGCATGTCATAACTAGATTTACTGCTGGATAAAAGCATTTTGCTGTGTTTGTGCAATAAAATGCTCTGGAATGCAAATGAAGTGTCAGAATATGGCATTGCCAGATTGTATCTCATATCAATGTCTATTAGGGTCATAATTTTTCTTTTTTTGGTGTTGAAGTCATCTTTGTCTACATTGCTTCCTGGCTACCCTCTCCCATGTTTTCCAAAGAATACAGCTATAACACTACATTTTTGTGAGCAGTGCTCTGCAGGAGTGTTTAATTCTCAAAAACCATGGTTCTGTTCTAGTTGTTTTGATATACCAGTAAATCGAATCATATGCTTTGACTGTTTTCAAAAAGAGTAACGATTTTGAGTGCAAGAACAATTGGGAAAAGACAGTCATTTCAAAACATTTGTGAACAGTATAAATTCAAATATTCAGTTCATGTAACATTCTGATATTGACATGTGTGTTCTTGGAAGGCAGTGCATAGTACAGTTTTAGATCTGCAGATGCAGCTCTTTTGCCAGTATTCTAATCCAGGATAAAAAGTTGCAAACAGCTCAGGTCACTCCGTACAGTCCAGAGACAGGGGAGCTACAGTGTGTGCTGTGTGCAGATGCTTCTGTATCTGGACACCACATAATACATATCATTTATATTGAAAATGATTAAAAAGAATGACTGAACTGCACACAACAACAGGATGGTAGAGCAAGTGTGATGTGTCTCTACATTCATGATATCAGATTAACTGGATCAAAGGTTGCTCCTTCCATCTTTTCCATTACGTTTCTATAAGTGATTATGCTTATTTAACTCCTTTTATCTTGGCTAAGTCTGTTCTTTCTCTGTATCACATTTTGGGATATTTTTATAGGAAGAAAAAGTCACGATTTTTACAATAAATATTAGGAAAGTCTGCGCAGATACCCAGCAGCCTCAGAAGAAACAAATTACAAGACCTCGAGCCATATCTGTATGACTGTGTAACTGCTACACCTGAGCACCAAGTCCTGAGCAAGGTCCTGAAGTCCCATTTTGTCTTGCCTCGTTGGCTGTAAGAAATAAGGGTGTTAAAACAGCCCACCCACAGCAATGTACCACCTCTGTGACACAGAAGTGACCTTTAACTTCTGTGATCAGTAATATATACCAGACCACAATCTTGACTTTTTTTGCATGGTGCTTTTTGTAATGGATTCACAATCTTTTCAGGTGAGTGCCATGAAGATTAATACTATGATTACATGAATAATTCATAATTGGTCCATAACCACAAAAACAAAGGCTTTTGATTACAAAGATTAAATTTCCATTTAATTAATCATTCATTCTAATAACAGTGTACCTTATTGCAGACGTCCAGTTTCTTCAGTGCCGGCCAATCTAAATGTGTCACACAGCTGGAATTACATTGAGAAGCTGCTGGACCTAGAAACAGCTGAAACTAAGAAGCAAGAAGATCCCAGTGAATATTGTTATGGTATGTCATAGGCGTTTCAGCTTGAAGAAAGAGACAAGTAAAATTGTGTCGCTTCTCATAGTACTGTACCTAGGTGATAAAAAGTATTAATTTTCCAAATTTCCACCAAGAGACGCAGCTGTCAGAGTGTATACGTTGGGGAGGTGATTCTTCTTGTGCAAGGACACAAGTGCAGTATATTTCCTTTTTATCTTTAAAATATGGTTGTTTTGACTCATCCATTTTGACTACCTGAAATCACATATTTTTTAGTCGTACTAGTTAAGAAACAAAGAATAATTATAAGCGCGTTTGTGGAATATGATCAACCCCATCTTCTCTCCTTACAGCTCCTGTAGCAAATCAGAAGATTAAAGCAGTGAGCACTGACATGGCTCTCAGCTGATATTGCTGCAGGCTCGCAGGCCACTTCAGAACTTTATAGGCCTGAATTAAACGTAACTAGCGACCCACCTGTGAAAAGGGAATTTCTAGATATGACCATTTGATGGCAGCATTCTGATAGCCAGGTTTTTTGACACCTCTCCATAGAAAAAAACGTTCGTCAGGGAGAGTGTTTGAAATTAGCATCTGACAGGTCAGCAGGTTTTTTTCTGAGCTACTTTCAGCTGTTGATACTGTTTAACAGCATAATCCCATTTGCTTAATGGATCTTCTGAGGAGGCATCTACTTATAACAGATTAGCTCGGATGGAACACGTTTTCCTTTCAATTCCCAATTGGCTTTAAGCTTGCTTGTGGGGAGGCCGGTCAGTTATCAGGAACTGGCTACATAACCATACATTGGCATGGACAGCTGTTGGATTCCATTGGTCTCTATAGAATTTGACATTCCATCCACATGATTGATTTCCCTTCTGGAGTTTAATTTGTTTGTGTTCCTCTTTCTCTGTAGGAGGTTACCATCCCGTGACGATAGGGGACACTTTTAACGGAAGATACCGAGTGCTGAGGAAACTCGGATGGGGCTACTTTTCCACTGTGTGGCTCTGCCTGGACCTACAGTATGTCATCAGTCTGCAGGTGTTTTGTGCTCTGCATTGACACATTGACACATCATGATAGGCTTGGATATATGATATCTTTTTTTTTTCATAGATCCTTTCTGGTATTACAAAAGTAACAAATTAAACATTTTGTAATGGATTGAAACAGCCAAATTGATTTGCCGCGGAATAACCTTACTGAACTTCTACTGCAGTCCCACTGAAACGTGTTATTATTTTATAAAGGCTTTTTACACAGTGAATTGTGCAATAATTATGCTGGATTTTCTCTCAGTAAGAAGAGAGTTGTGGCTGTGAAAGTGTCAAAGAGCGGAGCCAATTTCACACAAGCTGCGCAGGACGAGCTGGCGTTGTTGCGATGTGTAAGCCTTTCTTTTTTCATTTGTCAACTTATTTTTGTATCTGTAGTTTGAATCAGTGCTTCCTAATCAATTTAGGTTACAACGATAGTCTGAGTATTGCAGAGATGAAGGCGATACACCTGCTCTGCCAGGTTATACAGTAGCACCACAAACCTATAGTACAGCAATAATTAGTAATTAAACAATGGACTTAATGGGGTTCTTACTGCAAGTTCACAGCCCATACAGTTGGCAGTATACTGTATAATAATATTCTAAATTTATCATTTTCTGAACTCTTCATCCCATCCAGGGCTGAAGGAAAGCCAGAGCCTATCCAGGCAGGCAACAGGCACAAGGATAACATACTGGCACGATGCCAGTTATACCGAATTTATTTAAAATAAAAACAAACATCCCTTTAGTGTATTTCATTTTATTGGTGTTCTAATTTTATTGCATTTCTTTTGTGTTCTCAGACTTGTGGCTCCATGAGGAAGCATCCCTACGGTGAATGCATTGTTGAGCTGCTGGATGACTTCAGACTTGTGGGGAAAAACGGAATCCGTATCCTTTAATTATGAAGTAGAATTATGATGACCAGTACTACCATTGGCCAACAGCTCTGAGAATACACCTATATGAAGAAGAGAATTCCAAGGTTCATGGTTTGCTGTATCGAATAAATGTTTTCTAAGATATGTCTAAAAGGCGTTGTTGAAATATGGAAATAAAATGAAACACAGAAAAAATGAATACATTTAGTATGGCCATTTTGTTTGTTGTAATTTTTTGGGAGAAGGTTAGCTGTACTTCACTGCTACAGTTTTGGAGATATTGGTGTCCTTGATTTCAAACCTTGTGTCTTATGATTCAGTAGTATCTCTGCTGTAGAACCAGGGAAGCCTATTCCATGGAATAAAATGAGATAAGGATGATAGATTATTTGGATAGAACTGAATACCAACAAACGCAATCCAACTGAAAACAAAAAACATCTTTTGGTTTTATATTTAATCAGAATTCATCCCAGTCCTTTACTAATAAGTTAGACTAAACAAAAACAACTAAAAAATGATTTTATTTTTTTATCATGAAACTATTTTTAAATTTTCAATGATGGTTCATGCAGGAAGTAAAATATATGCATCAGGGGCCAGATAAAAAGCAATGTTGTACCTGTAATAAAAGTATTAGAGATTTCAGTCATATATCTTAAAGGCTTGTAATGATTTAGGAACATTGAAAATTGAACTTTTAACCATTTTTCAGGTTGTGAATTTATTTTAAGACATTTGGCAAACCTGATCTTTTTAGCCAATAAATAATCTGACTACAGCCCCGTTTCCAAAAATGCCCTTAACTGAAAAGGTCAGACATGTGCCTGGTATTTGAATTATTGGGGCAGAACCTCCACAGCTGGATGATGGACTACACTTCTCTTGGTCTTCCATTGTCATGGGTGAAATCTATCATTCGACAGGTGAGAAATGAAAGGGTGAATATTATGACCATTACAAATCTGTCAGTCCATCAACAAAATGCTTGGAGGTTTCCTTTTCATTAAACTTACAGTACACCCCCTTTAACTGGCATAATTTGACCATTTATTTTTCTTTTGCTTAAATCTTAAAAAGAAACTCTGAATTTTTGTACATTACAGGCTATTTAAAATCATAAATTGTTTAAGAGCTCAAAACAACCATTCATTATCCTTCAATCCTAAAATCCACACAGCCAAGCTGAGAGCGCATAGGCAAGACCTAACTGGAGGTAGAAAAATAAATAAATATTTCATCAGAAGGATTTCATTTGATACCTCTAAATAAACATTTTGGTTTTCTGAGTGTAAAAAATGGCAGGCAACAATAAAAGATGTACTTATTAGATTGAACTTAATTGAACAGGTATTCCAGGGGACATGTTAAGATATTTATTATTTTGAAGCTATTTTAACTTTAAAAGATTATTTTTTGCTACATAATAATTATTCATGTTAGATATGACAGAACTAGTAAAAGTAGCAAAACAGATCTCTTGAAGAACAAAAATGTCAATTTACCTGTTTTTTGATTGACAAGGATTGATCACGATAAACATATGTGTAATTGGGTCATTTCAAATGTTAGGTTATTTTAAATTTCAGTCTACTGAAATTTAACCTGTCTTCCTTGAAGGTTCTTCAAGGACTGGATTACCTCCACACCCAGTGTAAAATCATCCACACTGACATTAAGCCAGAGAATATTCTACTGTGCATAGGTGAGCAGTGCACAAAGCAGTCAGAAGAGGGAGCTGTACAAGACAAGTTACATGAATACAAGAGAATGGACCGAGCAGGTACAGTATAGTAGTACAGTAGCTGCTAGTCTTTGAAATATTGTAACATCAATGTAGTGGCAGTGAATACCAGAAAACTGAGGTTTCCCAAACCAGTGTTAAATACAGTAGGGACTAAACAGGTCTGCTTCAGTACAGTTTGTATGTGTGTGTGGGAGGGGCCAGCATTTATCACTTTCCATGTGGGGAGAAAATATCTCCACAAAGATAGTTCAGAAATTGAGGATGTGAGGATATCACATCCTTACAATGTAAATGGTTCTTTCTCTATGCTAAATGGCATCTCCTTTTTAAAAATAAGAGTGACCATAATAAACGAAAATATAAGTTTCATTTCAGTCAACGTGTTTACATGAAAGGGTACGAAATAAAATATAATGCACAACAAAATGTTGCTTGAAGAAGGATCTAGCATGCATCACAAAAATACCAGTTTCATATAGTACGAATCTAATTCATGGGTCTTATTTTGCTTGACAGAGTGACACTTGAGCACCAACCCAATGCCTTTTATAATAATTTGGTGGTGCCCTGCCAATAGTATGCCACCTCTGAGAGCTCACAAACAAAATTGTCATTGCTGGCATCTGAAAAAGGGATCTATAGATTATAGCTTCCAATGTGCACTACGGGTGCCGAATTTAGTTAAATTACAGAGGATCCTAAACCTTTCCCCTTCCTTTTTTTATTTTCACTTAGTTATGAAAATTAGCATTTGAGAAATAATTTTCATTATTTTCAGGAGTAATGATTAATGGTGGAGTCCTTCATCTGCTCTGTATTCCAAATCTCAGAGACCCTCTTCCTCTTCCACCAGTGAGACAAAAACGCAAATCCTTGTCAGTGACATGGAGAGTTTCTGTACTCCCTGAGCTGTTTACCCCCTTCCTCCCCAGATGTGGACCACTGTGACAACCTGCAGTTTGACCCAAAGTCTGTAACAGCTGAAGAGATAAAAGTAAAAATTGCAGATCTGGGTAGCTCCTGCTGGGTGGTATGTGCTACTTTTCTTCCAATAAAAAAACCATGACAGATTAATAAAAATATTCAGGTCCCAAACCTTTCCAAATAAGTTAAAAAAATGCTATTAAGAGGCCGTTAGCTAGGATCTTTCAAGATACTTAAAAATATGTTCATGATATCCATTCTAAAAAAAGGAAGAATATGAGGCAATTACAGACCGATCAGACTTATGACTCGTTTTGGAAACATTTGAAAATTTAACCATGGTGGCGCATTGGTTAGCATTACTGTCTTGCAGCACTGGGGCCCTGAGTTCATTTACAGACCTGGGGCGCTATCTGGACAGAGTTAGTATATTCTCCCCATTTTTGCATGGGTTCTCTCCCACAGTCCAAAGACATACTGGTAGGTGAACCAGCTTCTGGGAAAACTGGCGCTGGTGTGTGCATGTTTGTGTTTATGTCTGCGTGTGCCCTGTGATCTCAGACACCCCATCCAGGGTGTATCCTACCTATAATCAGCTGCTTGCTGGGATAGGGGGACGGGGGCTCCGGCTGCTCCATGAAACTGTATTGGATAAAGCACTTAGACAATGGATGGGTAGTTGGATGAAGAAATAAATCTGGAAAAAAAGTAATTGAAATATCAGAAGTCCTCCGAGGTATGGCAACCCAGAGGACTACTTGAAGTTCAGTTGTGAAAATGGTAGTTGAAATGGTAGTTGAGTAATACTCAAGAGCAAATTAAGAGTGGGAGAGTTAAGGAGTAAAAATTAGAGACACAAAAGGATAAGGGATCTTAATTTAAACACATTACCGAGCCCTGCTGCTGAATTTCTTAAATATTTCACGTGGTGCAATCAATTAGCTACCAAAACAACTTGAAAGAGCCAAAAGACCTCCTCTCATTCAAAACCTTTCCAATGCTCTTATTATAAAACATGACAGGAGTCATGTGTATTACCTACACTTCATGAGACATGGTGGAGACAAGCTATACTTTATTAATCCCTCCTAATTAGTACGCATTTCTTATTTCCTTAAATGTCCAGTACAAGCATTTTTCCGATGAAATCCAGACTCGGCAGTATCGCTCGCTGGAAGTTTTGATTGGCTCTGACTATGGTCCTCCTGCTGATATCTGGAGCACAGCATGTATGGTAAGAATGACCTGCTCTTCTCTCATAGGCTCTGTCGTGCCACCTGGAGAGAACCATTTCTGAGCTCTTGCTTGGGTCTGCTGCAACCTACATTTTCACCTTCCCCGTCATCTGCCAGCTCAATCTAGCTCTGTGCCTGTTTGCTGCCTTTGTTGCTATATCACTTGTTACCTGCTGTTATTTTACGGTGCATACAGTGTTACTCAGACTCAGTGCCGAGATAAATCGCCGGCACTTGTCAATGTGCAGTGTTTTTGAGAACAACTATTTCACCAAGTGACTATGATTACAGGCTTTTGAGCTGGTGACTGGGGACTCCTTGTTTGAACCACGAGCTGGGAAAACATACTCAGTGGAGGAAGGTAAACAGAGAAGCACTGACAGATGTGCTGTGTTAGAAACTGGAGAGTGGGAGATTCTTTGGCATTGTTTTCTCTTTGTCTTCCTCTTGCTTGCAGATCACCTTGCTCATATCATAGAACTCCTGGGGAAAATCCCAGCACGGGTAGCCCTGTCTGGCAAATACTCCAGGGAATATTTTACCTATAAAGGTAAGGCAACAGGAGCTACACAGGAAAATAAAATGGTGAGAAAAGGTCAGATAGGACACAATACACTCATCAAAATGCATAAAACTGTAAAACTGGACCATCCATAGTCCATAGTCTATCCTTATAGCATCATTATTCTAAAAGGTAAACTTACATTTTAGTTACTTTTTTAACTGCACGGAATAAACACATCAATTATAGCTAGTAAATTAGGCCTGAATAAATCTTTTCAGTAGGCAATTGTTTTGCATTATTTAATGTAATTTAAACTCTTTGAGTAATACTCAGCAGCAGCACAAACTCTGTATCTTTTTATTTTCACTTGCTTATTTGCAAAAGTACTGCAAGAAACTAAATCAGTTTCTGTGTGTCTTGGTTTACACCTGAGGTCTTGAATCCTGACCAAGGAGAATCGTTTGAGTTTTATGGCTGGCTTCTGTCAGGGGGTCCAAATCATGAAAATCATGAGGCGATTATTGGTTCACTTACACAGGCAACAGCTCAGCTGGCGTGAACATGACCCCCTGCTGGAGAGGCAGCTTTTGGCACAGTCAGTGTGATTCACCTTGTTCTGCTTTGTGTCCCAGGTGATCTCCGGCGAATTCGAGTGCTGCGGCCTTGGGGGATATATGAGGTCCTGGTAGAGAAATACCACTTAGGCCTGAAGGAAGCCGCCCTGTTTGCAGATTTTCTGCTCTGCATGTTGGCGTTCAGCCCAGAGCAAAGAGCCACGGCAGTCCAGTGCCTGAGACACCCTTGGCTCACATCCTAAACTGGGAAACTGTGCTGACCTTCATAGAATCTACACGTCAATACAGTGGGACAGTTGGGGAAATAGATATACTGTACAAATACGGCAATACAAAACATGGAAAATATATTGAGGCATGTGTTGAAAGAGCAGGGTACTTCTGTTTATTTTTAAATATATGGCAACAGCAGTTTCCAAAGATTTGGAAGCATTTTGGAGGCAATGTGTAACTGAGATATAACTGAGATATATTTAAACATAAAATCGAATGGATTTTAAGACAGCAATTGAAATCAGTATGCTCATCTAGTCATACTAGATACAGTATACAGTGCAGAGAAGTCTACAGAAATGGTTGTAAAGATGGATATGAGTACAGAGTAAAAACAGTTGAATTCAAATCAGTAGAACAGCCACCCTACATTTTGTACAAAGCACGAGATTGTTAGATTCTATTTATTTGGTTATAAAACTGTGAAAGAGGCTACCGTGGATATAAACTAAGACAAGGCTGATAAGAGAAACTCTAGGACTGGAAAAAAAAGGTTAAAATGGGTTAAAAATATTTAAGCTATTTTACACAAAAAAAATATTCAGTTAATTAAAGATTTAATTAAAACTGACTTACTAAAAATCCCATAAGGGCTTGACTAACAGCTACAATCACTCAAAACGCTCGGCACAGAAAGCAGCAGTAGAGAAACATGCAGATAAACACAGGTGTAGCAGAGGCTGGGGAAACACAATACTGTTGACAAGAAGTAATATGAAGTCCTACTATTAATTAGTTACAAAAAGGCAAACAGTTAAACATGTTCTTTAAAATATACTGTATATGGTCCCGTTTACTAAGGGACAGTTTCTGCTGATTCACAGATCTGATCCTGGAGAGCCAGTGTGTCTACAGGTTTTCGTTCTAACTCAGCTTTTAACATTGTAATTGGTTTACTCAGACCAATTTGATAACTTGTCCCTGCTCTTCAGTTGCTGGTGCTTTCACCTGGACCAGGGCTGGACATCCCTTTGCTAATCAAAAACTTGAAACATGATGGCATTGTTTCATATAGTTACTCAGGGCACATAAAAATGACAAAACACGTTTGGAGTGGAATATAAAATGGCAATTTTACTTGGTGCTAAATCAAATCACATTGGGAGAGCCTTTAAGCACATGTCTGAACTACTTGAAGCCTTACAGCAGAAGACTCCAACCCCGGTCTCGGAAAGCCTCAATCCAATGTTTGGCAAATAACCTACAACCTAGCCGTACCCATTAAAACAGCAGTTTCCAAAGATTTGGAAGCATTTGTGATTAATTAAACAGGAGAAGTATTAAATTGGTGATTTAAGATCATCTGACAATATGAATATAACTTAGTCCTTAGGAACCGGTGCTCTCTTCATTGAGCAAACCAGGAACTTATTTGATTAATAACTTACAGGTGTTCCAAACTTTACAAACTCACTTTTTAGGGTGATTTATGAGATGAAACGGACAGAGGCTTTCCAAGATTGTGATTCTCAACACCTGCCTTACAGAACTAACGGTGTTTTTAAAATGTTCAGATTTATCTGTTGAAGTTTTTTTCTATTATTTTTTAAATACATTGCTCCTGAGCAAAAGAAGATCAGGTTTAGTGTTTAAAAGCAGGTATCATGTTTTGGTATGCTTGTATATGTTTCATAGCAGATATGATTTGGGGATGGCACAGAACATATACTGTAATATGATGTTTCTGTTGTCTACCGGAACACTCCTTGGTTTCATATGTGCTCTTAATGGTTGTGTTTGTTCTGACTTCTTGTTGTTCTGTCATAAATGTTTTAAATTATTCCTGTTCTGCGGTCTATTCACTTTGTCCTCCATTTTATTGCTGTGGTTGTTACATGGATATTTTTGTGGCTGTGGTTAATGGACAATATAAGTCTTGACAAGGAATGTATACATTTTACATCAAACTAATGTAAAATTGTAAATTGAAGACAGTGGAGCATAATAAAAAAACTACGATTTTCAGTTTAAAATTCTGTCTAATGCGTTTTAGAATGAACTGTTTAAAGCAAGTCTCGACTGAGACTGAGTCATGCTCCTACTTATTTACTTAAACACCAGGAATGTTTTGTCTTCGTAACAAAATTGCATAAGACGTTACTTAAATTTTTCTAGGTGCGTCCTTGCCACAGGATAAACAACAACCCGTTTTGAAAACTGGTACCAAGCAGCATAGTGAGACAGAATATTGTTTGGTATTCGGCTATGGTCTCAGAGATATAAGGCATTTGCATTCGCATATTCCTTTCTCAGCTTTCTCTAAAATGTATAATTTCTTCACACCAGCGTCACTTCCCCTACCCTCAAATGCGTTGTAAGGTATTCATTCCCGAGTTAGCAAATCGGAACACTGGAAGTACTGGTACAAAAAAGACACAGGCTCGTTTTCTAACCCGGGTGTAATTTACTGCCGGAGCCGGATGCTACTGAAGTCGAAAATCGCGTCCCACGCGAGTTCATTCTTCTGGGTGGCGAGATATTGATTATCCTCCAAAGGAAAAAAAAAACAGAAGATGGTCTGAGGTACAACTTAATGAGACAGCGGTATTCCTTCCTTTCTGGATTTTTCACATAGTTAAAATACGTTGCGGTTTCACCTTTCAAGCCCAGTACAGAAAAGACACCGTACGCCGCACAGGTTGGTAGGAGTGGCTCTGTTAATTCTTAATTTATGGAAGGTTTCATAGAATGCATGCCATTGACGTCACCCCTAATGCATGAAAACATAGCGGTTATTTACAGTCTCATATTCAGTTTTCCGAAGCAAATCGCTGTCTTGCCCTGACGGGGAAAAAAATGGAAACGCCACTGTCTGCAGATGTGAGGTCTGCGGACTCCATTACTCCTTAGTAGAAATAGTTTATAATGCGGTTTTGATCATTCATTTAATTAAAGGTGACAAAAGCTGCAGTTAGGATCGTGTTTCGTTGCCTGTTAGATAATGCGCATAAAACAACGGTAGCTGTGGTATTATGGCGATTAAAATTGTCTTTAAAGGAACTATATGCTGAAATTACGCTATTTAGCGGCACGCATTTTTAACAGCTGAGCAGATCACAAATAGCGCTCAACAAGACGTCTTTTGCTCCAGATTATTTTACAACAATTGCAATATAAGTGTCCTTGGGTGTTTTGGTCAGTGGTTCTCCGGAGGAATCAAATTAAAACGTTTCACTGTTGACCAGTGACCGTGCCCATCGTAACTGTTTTCTCCGGTTGATTTTGTAACATTGTACCAGCAGAGATGAAAAAAGGGGGGAAAAACATCGTACTGTATTTCCCAATAAAGCACTAGGTGTTACTGCTAGATATGATAGAAAAAAATATAATGTGATGGATTTTGATGAGTTATTATTAATGTCCAATTTTCCGTTGAAAATAGATTTGCATGTATGTTCACATAAATGCGCAACCTTTAAAAAAACAGGGCCTAAAGATATACAAAATTTTCGTTACCATTTTCTGACCCGTTTAACTATATAGAATATTATGGATTCATTCTGTGTAAACTGGGTCAATGTTCCAGAGGCCACTCTCCCGGCATCATAAAACGTTACTGAAATAATTGTCAGAAATATGAGTAATGTTTCTAACCATAATTGAAGTTCCTTTTGACGGTTCCTGGCTGAGATCGAGTCCTTCAAAATGTCACCCACGACATCTCAAATACAGTAAGGACTGGAAGTTGTGTACTTTAAATCCCTACTTATGTGCCTTAAATTACAACTAATCAAGCTGTATTACATATTCCAATTCTGGCCCTTGTCGGGGGGAAAAAAAAGATTTGATTAGGATTCAAGGGTTGTAGTACCCATTCTGAAGATAAAATAGCAGGAGTTTTTCTCACCCTTACAGTTTCAACAACAATTATCCAAATGAAGCATTAACCCGTAGTGTATTTCTTAGTGATTAAAGTGACACTTTTCAGTACAACATCCATTCATTTTCTAACAATTTAAGGCCTCGGGGAGCCAGAGCCTATCCCAGCAAGCAACAGGCGCAAGGCAGGGTACACCCTGGAAGGGACGCCAGTCCATCGCAGGGCAGACAGACACAAACACACACGCGCTCTCACACCTAGGGCCAAATTTCCCAGAGCCAGTTAACCTAACAGTATGTTTTTGGACTGTGGGAGGGACGTGGAACAGCCGAAAACCCATGAGAAGATGGGGAGAACATACAAACTCCACGCAGATAGCACTTCAAATCCCGGATTAAATCCAGGGCTCCACTGCTAGGCAGGAGTGGTAACCACTGTGCTACCGTCCTGCCCTTCAGTACAACAGTCAGATAAAATAAGGTAACAACCATGGAAATGGATATCCAGCACCTGTTGTTTGGTTATATGATAGTCTGCTGCCTTTAAAAGGTGGAATGGATCAGTAGACTACTAAGAGCAGTGCAAGTCTTATTTTCCTTGGCCTAGTGAAAATAGGAGAGGGACAGGAGAGTTGATTTGTCTTTGTAGTAAGTAATCTGCAAGGTTCCATGCATTTTCAGCAACCTCTTAGTGGGAAATCCGGACACACACAGCCAAGACACACACCTTCACTTAAAAAGCATGCAGACGGGGAGGATACAGAGAAGCCAGTGAACTTTGACCTTACGTCTTGGGATTGTGGGTGGAAATGGCAGCATTTAGGGGAGACCCACAGGAACATGACGAGTCTCAACAGAAACTGCTGGGCCTTTTGTGAACTGAAGCAAGGAAACGAGTGATCAGCCTGGGTTTGAAAAATACATCTGTGCTGATGGAGAAGCGTTGGTAAAGGTGAAAGGGGTTTATGAGACCTGCTGAGTCGGCGCGGAGGTGCAGCGTTTAGCACTGCTGTCCCTCAGCGTTGGGGCTCTGCATTCAGTTCCTAGGCTGCTATCTGCATGAAGTTTGCATGTACTCCCTGGGTTTGTATGGGTTTCCTCCCAAAGTCCAGAAACATACTGGTAAGTTAATTGACTTCTGGGAAAACTGGCCCTAGTGTGTGCGTGTTCATCTGTGTCTGTGAGCCTCACGGTGAACTGGGCGTCTGTGATGTATCCCGCCTTGCACCCAATGCACCCTGGGATAGACTCCAGGCCACTGTGACCCTGAATTGCGTAAGGGGGTATTTAAAGTGATGTGATGCTGATGCTACCCGCTGTGTAAAGAAACAGGCCATGGAGCAATCGGAGCAGACCGCCCCCGACCTGGGGACCCAGGAGGTGAATCCCGTCTATCTGCAGCAGCTGAGAGAGCTGGACATCCCAGAGGAAGCTGCAAAGCAGGTGAGAGGAGCCTGTTTCCACACACCACTGTACAGATGCTCGTAAAACTGGCTTTAATTTGGGAGCCCAGATTTGAGGAGTATGGTTTTGCTGAATTGAAAACAAGAATTTGGGGCATGAGATAGAAAAATATGGAGAAGCACTGCGCTGCATTGTTTGTTTTTAGTTGTTTCTGTGTTCACTGCATCTGACTTCTATTGTGTGTAGGCTACAAATGTATTGAAGCAGGAACTGCCTGATTTATATCTGTAATGAATTTTGCGGCACAGATGTTTTTTTTTCTTTACTGTTGACTGTCAGATGATTGAAGATGTCCATTTTAGAGCTACTGCAGCACACAACGTCAGGGTTAGTTAGGCTTGCCTTGTACTGACAGCCCTGTGACTTCCAGAGAGCATGAGTGTGCAGTGTTGTCAGGGAGTAATTGTGTCTCTGTTCCAGTTCATGATAACTATATCTGACCCAATGGCCTCTTCTTGTTTGATCTAGGTAGAATTCTGCTGGGGGTTGTGTGGGGCTCTCAGTGTGAAGTGAAGAAGTGGGTGGGTGTGGGCCTCACTAGGACTGATTTATTGGACTAAATCTTTTTGAATCTTTCTCAGCAAGCTGAACTGAATATTTATCGCTGACTCAAAATTCTAAAAAAATGATCTGACTTTTTTTTTCCCCCAGGCACTTCTACACACTAGGAATGTGTCAGCAGAAGAGGCAGCCATGTACTATTTTAACAAACTTGAGAACGAGGTAATATATCTTCCTGTTTTTCTTCTTAGTACAAGCTGAACCCAGTCTTCTGTACTACAGTATGTATGAGATAAGGGCTGAAGTAGTTCATCAAAGTCTCAAATGATTTTGAATGTGCCTGAATTCAGTGAGACATAGTGTCCAGTCAGTAGGATTTCTAAAAAGGCAAATGGCTTAAAAGTTTTGAGCTAGCTCTCACAATTGGTTGACTTGAACCCTACAAAAATGATCTGGGGCAGCATGATGGCGCAGTGGTTAGCATTGCTATCTAGGAGCGCTGGGGCCCTGGTGTCAGTTCCAGACCCGGGGTGCTCAATTTGTCTCCCAGTGGAGTCCTAAACCATATGCTTAGTTTAATGGGCTTCTGGGAAAATTGGCCTTGGTGTGAGTGTGTCTGGCCTAAGATGGGTAGGCGTCTTGTGTACGGTGTACCTTGCTTTCCGCCCATTGCTTGCCAGAAGAGACTCCGGCTCCTTCACGACCCTGAATTAGAAGAAGCAGTTAGAAAATATATGGATGGAAAATGTTGTGGATGGAGGTGTGACTCAGAAAGACAAGACATGTTATGACATGGAGCTGCCACTAGAGGTCACTGGAAAGATTAGTCTTTCCCGTCGCTGGGTTTTTGGTAAATATGTAGTACCCAAGTGACCATTTTATTTAGGTATATAGTGAGAGTGAATGGGCACAAGTAAATGTCCTCTTATAGGTTCCTCTTATAGACCTCTGATCAATTAATTATTGCCTCTGAATTTTTTATCTCATCAATACTTAGCCTCAGTCAAATATTGTAATCAAAAGTTGTAATACTTGATTCAGTTATAATCAAGTATTATCACTTTTGCTGTTTGCTTAGTCTGCCAGTCTGAATGTATGCAAAATAGGTTTAGATAAAGAAAAGTGAACATTTAATATTGCAGATGCTAACAATTTATCTTAATCTACAATTGCAAATTGATGAACATAACTGTAAATAAATTAAATAAGATTTTTACTACATTTGTTCCGGATTATTATGTATCTCTCAATGGTACTTGAAACATGAAGTGTTTTGGGTCAATAAAGTTTTAGAAAAGGTTGCTGATTTTTATCTAATTTCTTGTTTAAATGACATACAGGAGGAAGGAGACGAAGATCTATCATTTAAGATGGTGTTTGTTGTGAACATGGAGCTGTCAATGGGAGTAGGAAAGGTCAGTCATTCACTGGGGTAATCCCATCTGGATCGCCTGGCACACGGCATGGTAAATTTGAAACAGAAGAACAGTGTCTTTAATTCTTCTTATACCACAGTGAAAACTCAAAGCAGCATGAACTGTTGTAGCCATATGTGGTACTTTGTTAGACTCATCTCAAATCCTGTTTACTATGAGTATGTGTTTCACCACCACAGTGCTTTAAAACGTATTTATGCCATTCCAAAAGAGTGAGTACACATACAGTAATCTCTCGCTGTATGAACAATGGCTATAGGGGTTTCTGTTTTTAAATGATGTAATTCTTATGACCTGGGCTCTCCTAAAGCATTGCCAAGATTCTACTTTTCTTGTATATCTTGTACTTATGATAAGTAAATTCTTCCTTTTTCTGAGGCACTTACTTTATTACATTTTGACTTTTTATAATAAAGGATTTTGTGCACTAAGTGCAAAGAGTGCAGGACAGGGTATCATCAAAGAAAGCCCTCTCATGTGCAATATGAAAGCAGTGCTGATATTCATGAAGAAACATCTTAGACACTGAGGTGTTGCAAAATAATAATTGTAAAAAAATGGAGAAACGCTAATAACACAGTGTAAAGCTTTGACTCCTCTCTACATGTTTCCTGAATAGGCACACTTTAATTTGAACACTCTGTCAACTCTACTGATGTTTCTAAGGTGGTTGAACCTCATTGTGCCATATTTGCAAGTTCTTTGGAAATTGTGAACTGAAAACATGTTTAGAACAATGCCAACTCATGTAGCTACTGCTGTTCAGACATATCCCATAAGGAAGCCATTTGACCCTTATCTCATCCTGTGATTGCGTTGGTACTCTCTGCCCCTTTTGCTGCCCAGGTTGCTGCCCAGGTTGGCCATGCTGCAGTTGGACTGTACCAGGCCTTGCAGGAAAAGAACAGCTGGAGAGAGATGGCATGGAAGTGGGATCAGGCTGGGTAAGAGCAGTGTATGCCTGTGCTCTCTTCCCAGAGATCGTCCTTATGACCTAGAGTTTGGGGGGTCACTTTGAATGGTTTCAATTTCAAAACAAGCTTATGGACGTCTTGATATCCTCCATTAAACATCTTCTCCAGAGGCTTGTAGACATTTCTGTGCCTTTTTTGTCAAACAAATGAGAAGTTTCTTTAAGACTTTCTTCAAGACATTTCTTTAAAACTCTTAATTAAACTTTTAACTTAAGAATGCCCCCAAAACTACATAGAATATGTACTTATTGGCTTGGAGTCTGTATTTTAAAAGCTTGAACGCACCATAAAAGGAGAAAAGATGTCATGGAAATTGTACTTTTCCGAACTCTGACCTTACCAAGTTGGCTTTTAAATCTCACTTTATGTGCACTGCTGTTGGTACTCCTTGTGACAACGGGTATAACGCATCAATCATGAGTTCATCATCTCTGTAACTTGTCTATTGTATATGCTAAGACAAAAGTCAGCTTCATAGCAGTCCCAAAGCTCACGGTTCGATGGCACTATGGCAGCTTCAAAGTCCGACTTGGCTGTACGGCCGGGGTCTGTCAGCTGATCCACAGGGAGAGTGTCATACTCCGTCTGTGTGCAGTCAGGCTACAGCCAGGAGACCTCACTGGGAGGGGATGATCTTGTATTTTGGCTGTCCATTGCAGCACCTGCCTTCAGCTCCTCCCTCTCTTTATTGGTTAGGTGCCCAGAGTTTTGCCTGTAACTTGGCTCTTTCCTGTGGCTAGAGGCTACTTCACACACTATCCTCAGCGGATGTTATGTTGCCCCTTGGAATTCTATCTTCTGACATTGGGCTTCTAACCTGCTGTGATTTCTTCAGACATTTGCATTACGAAGGCTTTTCAGTTTTTTTTTTTGCAGTTTCTCCTCTGTTGCTCTGTCTGTCTAAGTCTGCCGTAGCCTGAAGCACCATTTTAAGTCAGCTTGCTTAATAACTCCCAGGCAGCAGTCTAAATAATGAGCATCCTTTTGTGTTCATTTCCACTTGGAATTCCTAAAGTTAGAGAATTCAGGTTGTCAGTGCTCCCAGGTGGATGCAGTCAGGCCTGTACCTGCCTCCCCATGTCACTTTCCTCTCAAAGCTTTCACTTCTTTCCAAGCAAGGGTAATCACCCAGATTGAAATTGCAGCAAAACCACAGTATGAACACTGCATCAGGGTATAATGAGTTCTAGAAAAGAAACAGTATTATATTAAGACAAAATGGGAAGAAGAACTAAATATTGCCTTCACTAACGAGGAATGGGAGAATGTGTGTACAACACAGTGCACTTCCACAAACTCAAAAAAAAAGGCGGGTATTTTGCTGGAGGAATTTAACTCCATTCTTCATAACCCAAAAATAAAATCGTCTCGGCTTGGTTTGCCACAACCATGTTGGAGAGATTGTGGTCATAGAAAGGCAGGACATTTCCATATATTTTGTCCATGTTAAAGAATTCAATGTTATGGTCTCAGATTCAGGATATATTATGTTTAGAAATACTGGGAGAGGTGGAGTATTTCTAGAACCTAATGAGAATGATTGTACGCATCTGTGAAGATGCAAAAGAATGATGCATAACAGACCTTATACTCATTTATATTTGTAATACTTCGAGGTTTTGAGATGACTGGCAACTCTTTTTTTTTCTGGTTACCTTTGTATGTTAATAGAAAACATAAGTAAAACAGAAATTGCAGCAAAACCAAAGGTTGTGTATATCAATCGCCATCTTATTATTTTTTTTACTTGCCTGTGAATTAAACATCCAAAACAATTGTTTTGTACAGAGCCAAGAAAGTGGTGCTCCAGGGGAGTAATATGGCCCACCTGCTGGAGCTCCAAGCCCTTGCCATGAGTCTCAGCCTACCCACTTACCTGGTGCAGGATGCTGGAAGGACTCAGGTGGGTAAGGG